GTTTCTCCATTGAAAATCATGCTTTTGATCAATCGTATTAAGGGCCCTTTCCTTGCCTGTGCTTTTTTTAGGGTTTTATAAGTGAGTGATATTTTTTTTGAAGACTTGTAATATGTCTATGGAGCTTATCAAGTGTTTTTTTTTAATTTCTTGCTATTTATATGATTAATCATGGAAACACTTCCCCAATGTTAAACGTCCCTTGTAAAATTTTGCCATAAATCCATGCTAAGTAATCTTTTTTTTTTGGGTTGTACTGATAAATTCTCTTTGCTAAAATTTTACTAAAAGTTATTGGATCAATGTTAACTAGTAACATTGGTCTAAAGATTTTTCTCTGCTTTATCTCCCCTTGGTTTAGGTATCAAGATAATATACATATCATAAATAGAGTTTGGCAGGGTGCCTTCCTTCTCTATTATTGAAAAAGGTTATAAAGAAAAGTCACTCAAATTAAGTACAAAATGAATAAATTATCTGCGAGTTAACCTACTTACCCACATACAAGTTATATAATAATAAAACTGTACATTTAAAAAAGGAAAGAAAGAATAAAAAACTGCAGCGCTATTCAGTGTCATGGCTAGCTTGCACCAATATCAAAAAGACACAATACACATCAATTTAGCGTACTACTATCTAGTGGTTACTTTATAGAAGTATATAAAAGTTTATGGATGAACAAAAGATCAAAAATAATGAAGAGAAAAGAAATGTAGAGGGCTCAAGCAATATCAGATAGCAATCTATATTACAAAGTATTAATTATCAAAATCATGCTACTGGTTTTAAAAAATGGAAAAAATATATATCAATGGAGAAGACATTCTCAATTCCAAGATCTAGAAGAAAAGAAACAGTAGCCTAGTGTTCCATACACATTAAAACAAATTATTGAGAAGACTCCTGATTTATCAAGAACTCCTAGGAAAATTGGGAAGCAGTTTGGTGGAAAATACCTTCAGACCAGCATCTTACACGATAACAATAATAAGCACTAAGTAGGCAATCTAAATATAAAAGGTGCCATATTAAAATAAGATGAAAGAGAACGGAAGGATGCTTCTTCCATATATGTGGTTATAGTGGAAATTTTTTTTTTTTTGTCCATAGTCTTGGTTTCATCAGTACAGCCTTTGACTTGAAAGTCAAAAACTACCTGGTATTGTGACATTTGGAGTGATGAGTAGGCTTTTTTAAATTGTATTTTATTTATTTGCCCAGTTACGTGTCAAGAAAATTTTTAGCATTCATTTTTACAAGATTTAGACTTCCAAATTTTTCTCCCTCCCTCCCTGCCACTCCCCTCTTCTGAAAATGGTAGGAAATTTGATATAGTTTATACATGTGCTATCATATAAAAATATTTCCATATTGGTCACAGTTGTTTTCCCCGTGAGGTATTTTACATTTTCTTTGATTTTTTCATTCTTTTGAATTTGACTGATTCTTGCTGTCTCATAGAGTCATTAGCTTCCACTTGCCTGATTCTAATTTTTAAGGTGCTATTTTCCTCAATTAGCTTTTGTACTTTCCTTTCCATTTGGACAGTCATACTCTTTAAGAAGTTGATTTCTTCAGTGAATTTTTGTATGTCCTTTTCCATTTGGGCAATTCTATTTTTTAGACCATTTTCCAAGATGCTGACTTTTTTCATAATTCTCTTACATCAGTCTCATTTCTTTTTCCATTTTTTCTTCTACCTCTCACATGATTTTATTTATTTATTTATTTACTTATTTATTTATTTATTTTTTTATTAGGCATTTGGGGTTAAGTGACTTGCCCAGGGTCACACAGCTAGTAAGTGTCAAGTGTTTGGTCTGAGGCCACATTTGAACTCAGGTCCTCCTGACTTCAGGGCTGGTGCTCTCTCCACTGCGCCACCTAGCTGCCCCCCTCTCTTACATGATTTTTAAAGCTCCTTTTTTAAGCTCTTCTGAGTTCTTTCTAGGCTTGAGACCACTTCCTGTTTTTCGACATTGTTGTCCTCTTCTGAGTTGGTGTCTTGGTTTTCCTTAGCACCATAATAACTTTCTATGGTCAGATTCTTTTTTAGTTTTTTGCTCCTTTGGGGGGGGTGGGTCTTCTTCCTTTCTTTTAAATGTGAGCTCTCTACTGTCTTAGGCTTCTTGTGCCAGTGGCTGCAGGTCCTGGCAGCTTACCTGGTGCTATGCTAATGCTGCCCTGAGGTCCCTGGGTGACCCTTGTATCTGGTGCTGCAGTCAGGGAGTGGGGTGGGGGGTGGCCGGCATTGGGCCGTAGGGGTCTGGCAGTTTACCTGGTGCTGAGCTTGGGTCCTAGTGGTGATGTTTGGCATGTGCTGCGGCCCGGTGGGGTATTTCTGCATTTCCGCAGAGCTACACTGAAGCAGGTGAAGGTCTGGCCACTGAAGGATACCTGTTTGCCCGGAGCTGTGCTGAAGCATGTGGAAGTCTGGCCGCTGGAGGGTACCTGTCTGTCTGGGGCCAGGCTGAAGCATGTAGTAGTTCTCAGAGCTCGAGTCTGCCTGTTCCCCTGGCTACACTGTGAGGCACATGTGAGGCCCTGGTTTTGGCATTTGTCTGCTCCCCTGCACTGGGGCTCAGGATCTCCCACTGGTTTGCTGAGATGTTTCCTGTCCTAGAATGTGCTCCCGTTTTATCCAAGTGAAAAGGATCTTTCCTGCTACTCTTCCAAGTTTCGTGGGTTAAAAGATTGTTTGACCCTATCTTTTTGCTGGTTCTGTTGTTCCAGAATTTGTTTTGTGGCACTATTTTTTGGTTGTTTGGAGGTAAATACGGGAGAGTTATAGTGATTTACTGCTTACTCCGCCATCTTGGCTTCCAGAAGTCCCTGATTAGTAGTTTTTAATTTATGTTCATGACAAGGACAATGCCAACATTACTTTCCCAAACTTGATTTTATTAATATGTGTTTTTCCTTCTCATTTTAGGTAGGTGTCCTTCAAATGGAAAATGGCTGAACAAATTATGGCATATGAATGTAATGAATTATTATTGGGCTATAAGACATGATGAAAGAGATGGTTTCAAAGAAACCTAGAAGGACATGTGTGAACTGATGCACAGTCAAGTGAGCAGATCCTAGAGAACAACTGATGTGATCACCACAACATTGTAAAGACAAACACTTCTGAAAGACTTAAAAACTCTTTATCAATTCAATGACCAAATAGGATTACACAGGACTGCCTCTGAAGCCTGCAGTCTACCTACTGCCAAGAGAGGTGGTAGAAATAGAACGCTGACCAAGACATAGAATTCTTTTTTTAAGTAGGAATAGCGGATTTTATTGTATAGACTTATTATCTCTGTAGTAAAACTTAATTAGTTTTGAAAGGATTTTAAAAAAAAGTTTAATTTGTAATATCAGTTTAGTTCCACATAAAAAATGTTTCACAAAATTACACCTTCCACTTTCTTCTGAATATCTCACTTAAATTTCCTAATTCAAGAAAAAGAAACCGCAAGTGGTTATGAACATAGCCAAAACATAAAACAGAATATCTGCTTTACTGTGATTTCCTAAAATAGTTCATAATTTTCTCAACTGTATTGATTTAGAAAATGAATGACATCTATATATTGCAGTTAAAAGTAAATTATCTCCACTATATTTGCATAAATTAGGTCCTGGTGAATATATGTTTTAAAACAGCTTAAAGACATTAATCAGTCAAGTAATATGCTAAACTACAAGGAACCAGGAAGAAACAAAAAATTTCTCATTTCTAAGTTTCTGTGGATGTTTCCAATTATCAAAAAAGTCCACATCAATCATCCTATTTAAAACCAAGAGTATCTCTCTAAGTTAAGCTGTGAAACATAATTTTTGCACATAGCCAATGAGGGAATTATTTTTTCTTGACTATGTGTATCTGTTGTAAGAATTTAGCTTACCCCCCTGGGTGGGAGGAAGTAAAAGGTAGAGAAACAGATTTTTGTTAATTCAAAAAAAGAAAAATGAAATAAAAGGTTTTGCACGATTGGGTACAAATCTTTGTATCCAGCATCTTTAATTAAAGTCTGACTTCCAAACCAGGAAGTTAGAATAACATAGAACTAAAACTGACTTAAATAGTGAAATAAGTTTTGATATGAACAGTAAGTTTTTAAAGAAAAACACAGACTACAACCAACCATATTTAAAATGCACATGAACATTGTTGTGGTGGAACCGAGACTTGACACAACACTCCAGAACGTAATTTAACTATGTGATAAAATCTAGCAGTGTATGCTCTTCCATCGAGAGTAGTCCAATTTCATATATTCTAAGAAAGTCAATAACAAATGGACACCATAATCTTCAGAATGCACAAGTCTGGAAGCAAAAGAATGTTCTCAATTGGAGAATGGATAAACAAGTGTAAAAATTTAAAAGAAGATTATTGTGCAGAAGAAGCAATGAATTCAGAGAACAAGTGGAAAAACTTGTGTGAATGGATAACAGTCAAGACAGCAGAATCCAGAGAAAAATATCCACAATGACCACAATAACACAGATGAAGACAGCAGATTTCAGTCAAATGCAGTGACTGGCGTTGGTTCCAGAAGTCTTTGCTTTCTCTCTGCTGGGAGTTGGTGATGCAGAATATTGTATACCTTTCAGTTGTGACCACTGTACAGATCATTTTCCTTATTTTTTTCTTCTGGTAAGGGAGGGTGCTACAAGAATTGATTGTTGTGTGAAAAACAAAATTCATCAGTAAAGCACTTAAAAAACAAAGTTTACATCAATGTTAACACTCAGGATGGTTTCCCTTAGGACAGGAATTCTTAAATTGGAATATGTGAACTTGTTTTATTTTTGTTTGTTTTTTAAATATTTGGATAACTATTTCAAAATAAGTGATTTCCTTTGTAATCTTATATATTTTTTAATGCATTTAAAAACTGACTGATTCTGAGAAGGCATCCATAAGCTTTACCAGACCACAAAAGAGGTCAATGTCACAGACAAGGTTAGGAACTCCTGCGTCAGAGAATCTAACTCACCTTGTCCAGAACCACATCACTGATGGGAGGCAGGCCCTCTGGTTTCTGTATACAGGCTGGCATGAACTGGAAATCGAGGAGGAACTCCCTATCATACTGCTTCTTCCCTTCAGTATCAGCAGGCTTCCAGGGTTCTAGGAAGGAGATTGGCAGCGATATGCATTTAGTACTATGAGATATATATATATATATATATGTGTGTGTGTGTGTGTGTGTGTGTACAGCTACATGAATATATATATGTATATGCATAGGTACATATATATTTATGTTTATTTACATATAAAATGATCAGGAGTGCAAACGAGGTGTCTTGCTTACGTATATCATGAGCAAATACATAAATCAAGTAAGAGAGTCACAAAAGTAAAACAACAGGAAGAGTACAGGCCACACACAGGGTTTTATTTTGTTTTATGTTGGCTACAAAAATAAACAGAAAATCAGATGCAGCCTCTGGAGATGGCCATGCACAATAATCACAATTATACAAATCTCAAATATCCTAACACCCAGAAACTGTGTTTGAATGATGTTGACAAAGGTGAAAGGAGGGGTGTCATGACCATGCCTATGGCCATTCATTCTGAGCTGGGAGTTCATGGAGGGAAGAAGGCTGGGAATGCCAAAACCTTGCCTTTCTCTCTGACAGTCAAACATCAGCCTGGAACCTGTTCATGGATCTGAACGCTCTGAAGAACCAGGGGAGCTGGGGGCCGACCTCTTCTTCCTGTGACTCACTCCCTTCTTCCTCCCTCACCTTCTTTCTTTGAGGGAGACACAGCTCTTGGCTAAGTGTGCCCTTGAATGGAGTTCCCCACTCTCTTCTGGCAAGTTATGTCCCCCTTCCAACCCCTCTCACTTCCATATCTCCCTTCACTGCAGGCTCAGTCCCTGGGGCTCTAACATTTTACCTTTCCCTCTTCTCTGGGGACTCTCCATCCCACTCCTGAGAGAAATCGTTGCATATTTTTTCTTTTCTTTTTTTTTTTTTTTAACTCTCCAGACCTCCCATGTTCCCTTCTCAGCACATACTTCACCTAACTGTGCGGGCAAGAGAGACATGAGGTGACCAGAGGAGACGCTTTTCTTCTCTTCTCTCCATCAGCTTAAGCACCCTTGGTATCTCAGATCTACTTGATATCATCAGCCTTTACTTTCTCTTGTCCTTTACTCCAGCCTCTGATGAAGAGATGGATCTTTGATTTTATCCCTTTGAGCACTCAAAAGGCTAAGTAAGCACTGAGACCCAGGTCCTGCATGCTGACTGTTTGCTTTACTGAATTAGATGCAGAAGACTATGGGTGTGGAACTGTACAGACAGTCAGCGTATGTGTTGGTCTGTTTTGCTAAACTGTTTTCTTTTTTGTTACAAATGAGGGCTCTCACTGGATAGGGAAGGGCGACTATCAGAAATAAGATGATTAAAAACATTTTTTTTTGAATTTTCCAAAAAGAACATCTGCCCTTTGACTGTTGGGCCCACTGAATTAGAGAGTCCACCATTTCCTAGGATTAGATGTCTCTAAAAGTATCACATACACATATGTATGTGTGTATATATGTGTGTGTGTGTGTGTGTGTATATATATATATATTCTTTATAAGGTCCTATTTTCTGATGGGACAAGTGGTACAGCCCACACTACAGAACGAACTTCTTCAGAGAGAAAACATGCCCTCAGTGTTAAGTGTTTAAAAAAAAAAAAAAGACAACTCTTTCTTCTTTATAGTGTTTTTATTTAGAGGAAATAAATCAGTAAGAACAGAGAAAGCTCTCCAATGCTTAACACAACAGCAAAACGACAATTTTTACTAGCAAATCAAAGCATTTCAAACTAAAAAGTGTCTGACGGGAATGACTTTTGAGAATATATGCAATGTTTAGTCAGGACCTTGGATTCATAAGGAGGAGATGCATTCTTTATATAGTTTCCTTCACTTTGGGGGAAAGCAACCAGCTACAAGTTATGATTAGTTGATATTCCTGGTGGTAGAAGGGCACAAAATAGTGCCCCACCTAGACCACACACTGTTGAGGAACCACCACTAAAGAGCTCCGCTTAAGAAGGGCCTGATCCATGTTCTAATCTCCTGAATTTCTATATAGTGAGCTTGAAAAATTTGTAGTATTTAGCAAAAATCAGATGATACCTAATCAAAAGAAATGGTAAGTTTTCCCCCATTTCTTTGGGTGAATTTATGTTAGTTAGTTTTAAATAGCAACAAATGGGAATGGGCTGGCTAGGTATGGATCCAGTCCTGTACTTCTGCCCTGATAATCTGACAAATAAAAAAGTTTGAGGATCACCAATCCCCTAGAAGTGAGGAAGATATCTAAAAGAAAAATGGGCCAAAAAGCAAAAATGTATTAATTTGTTCAGATAGGTAACCTGTCAGGTGAACAGGATGGTGGAGGGGGAGGGCGATTACAGGTAGTGAAGTCACATGAACTATGAGGGCGATTACAGGTAGTGAAGTCACTTAACAGCTTCCAGTTAAATCACGTGAAGTTAAAAGGGTACTTGGTCTGCTACTAGTGGCAAAACAGAACAAAACAGAGAACAGGAGGCAGCAGAGGAAATAGGTCCCCTCTCCTAATAATAACAACCACTACTCATCTGATAAAAGTGCTTTAAGATTTGTTGAATCCTTTAATGGCCTGAGGTAGCTAGTAAAGAACGATCTTCCTCATTTTATATATGAAGGTAAGTGGTCTGCCCATTCCTAAGTGACATAAGCAGGATCTGACCTCAGCTCTAAGTCAACAACATCATCATAAACAATAACACGTTACCCTCTAACAGACAAAGGAAAAAGCAACTGTACATACCTCATGCAACACGTACTTCTATTTTCTTATCAGTTTTGCCCATTTAAAAAGTTATCATTTCACTAAGATATATTCACTGACTTTTCAATTTTATATAGTTATCTAATGTTACTCCAAAGTAACCTCGTACAAAACAGAGTCCTTTACTAGGAAAATGGGTCCAACAGACAAAAATACTTCTTAATCTAGCCAACAAAGTATGCTGCAAATATACTACAATACTTAAGTGTACAAGTGAAATTTAGAAGAAGATAAGTACAATCATCACATATATAAGCAAGAGGAAGTCCTGTATCTTAGAGATATCCCTTTTCAAAATAAGTCTACGGCAGAGGAGATGCTGACATCCAAGAGTAAATGGAGATATAGGAGAGCAAAGTCAATGGAAGAACAGAAGAAAGCCAAAGCTGATTATTTAGTAGTACACTCCATACTTTCAAACTCTGGTGTGGGCCTGAGTAGGTCAAAATGGGATGTACTTCTGGTATTGAATCAGGAGGTCTGGACCAGGCCCAGGATATCTCTGAGCTACATGAAAGAGGTTCTAGTCTATTCCTGGGCATGTGCAAGGTGGGGAGGGAAAGGAGTACAACTTGGGCACCCGCCCAGAAATAATCTCCTCTGCTTATAGAAAGTGAATGCATGCTCATGTCTTCCATTTCAACAGATCCCGGAATCACAGATTTCGAGCTGGATGGGCCTATGGGGATCCCATAGTCAGTCTATCTATCTTTCTCCTTGTTTCACAGACAAGAAAACGGAAACTTGCAAGCTCCAGTGCCTTGCCCAAGGCTACATATCCATATAGTGAGCGGCCAAGCTAGGAAGTGAACCTGGAGCCTGTGACTCTAAATTCAGCCCTCTTGTCTACCTGGGGCACCATGTTGAGAGTCAGTCAATGGCTATCTCCCCTTAGGGGCATATGAATCAATAGACTGTACATCACAGGGACCATACCTTGGTTTGTTCTATCACCTGCCTATGACTAAAAGAAATAGGTTTCTTGAAATAACAGACGTCACACCAAAACACTAAAAGCCACCACAGAAAATACATTCCTTTGCAGTTGTTGCATAGAGATAACTTAAGTCCAGTTTGTTCTTGAGGTTTTGTGCGTTCTAAATTCACACCTAATTTCTGGCCATAGTCTTTCCAAATTAGGCATAATGAGTGGGGGTTCTCACCTTCACAAAACATTTCGATTAAAAAAAATTCTTTCTCCATGCATTCACATTAAGTACTGTATATCCATGGGGAAACAATGGAAATAGCAACAGAATAACCTGAAAGGTCACAATAAAATCTCACAAGTATGTCAGAGGTGTGCTTGCAGGAAGTTAGCTCTCTGGTACTGTCTGGTGATGGTGGATGCCTCTGAGGTGCAGAGCTCACGTAGCTTCTTGCTCTGTTGGGACTTAGTCAGTGTTTATTGCCACTACAAACCCTATTCTTTTTCATATGTCAAGTACGCACTTGTATTTTCTTCTATCAAAGTTGCGGGGCTTTTTCTTGTTAGAGGTACGCTCTTGTATCTTAGTATAATTTTGGTATAATTTCATATGTTTTAGTATCATTTTGAGCTACTAAACCTTAAAATTGCACTGAGACTTTTTGGACATCCTGTATAATAATCACATCAATTCTGAAAAGCCACCTAGACACCAGAAAAGTCAGAAATTCCAGTAGCTAGACATCTATTTCTTTCATCAATTGTTTGTTTGTTGAACACCAGAGAGAAAAGAACTACTTGGCCCCACTCCCTACAGTGCGGCGGCGTTCTTCCCCTCCCAGGATGGGTCAACGCCACCTGCCCAGCCTATCTGCCCTCTGGCATCACGTGTAGAGGCCCTGAGCCGGAGCCTCAGCAGCCAGCACGCACCCAAGAGAGAGGGGGCAGGACTCACCTGGCTTCAGAGGAAAGGCCACGCCATCGCCAGAACTGTCCGGGGAGCCCGAGTTTGCATCGCCTCCTTCCCCCTCAGAAGCACTCTCAGCTCCATTACGCACGGGCTCGCTTTCCTGCTCTCCATTTTCTTCCACAGCTTTTGCCTTTTTAAGGTCAGAGGGGTCTCGCTCGGGGTGAAACCCTTGGCTCATTGTATCCTGTTCAGATTCAAGTACTTTGTCACCTGAAAGTTCCTCTTCAACTTTAGGCTGAAGTATAAGTGAACATAGAGGTTACAGTTTAAAACAAAGCAATGTATGTATGCAGGCAGAAATATTCACACACACACACACACACACACACACACACACACACGAGACTCACTATGAGATGCTGCCATGTATAGCATACAGAAGTGTCATGACAAGTTTATTTAAGACACTGCTTTTAATTCCCTTGGACTAACACAGACAATTACCACTGTTACTAAAATGGTTTAATTATGACTAATGAAGGCCAAATATACTAAGGCTTAGAATGGAAAGAACTGTTAATCCTTCTAATATGCTGGCCTCCAGTGAGCAGCAGTAGCGAGGCAGCCCCTCCCCCAGCCAACGGTAGGGGCTCCTCCGGGTGTGCTCTTGGCCGCCACAAGGAGATTTCAGGAAAAGTTTCAAAAATAACAAACACCGAAACGCTGCTTATCTGCCTCACTAGAGGGAGACTGTTTTCATTCTATTTTGGGCGATAGAGTTTAGAATTCTGCAAGGCCTTAGTCTTATCCAGCTTCCATCTGGTGAAGTTTAGCTTCCGGTCTGCGTTCTCTATTAGAGGAACAGAATGACGAGCTGATCACACCGGCTGCCTCTCTTTGATCACCTCACTTGCAAATAGCCAATGGAGGGGAGTGCTTAACTGTCCTGTACACTCCCCAAGACATCTGAATGTAAAATTCATTGTGGTCATGATTCACAGGAGCCTAATCCAGTCTGATGGATGAAATCCTAGCCTGCTTCACACAGCAGCTGCAGGGGCAGGCAGGCTGTCTCTGCAGGGCCTTCCAAGCCCCAGGACAGAGCAACACTAGGAGAGGCACACCCGGGCCAAAGACAGCCACTTTAGGAGAGGGGAGGATGAGGCACAAAGGGACTCTTTGCTCAAATTATCTGTGGAATAATAAAGTTTTCATCTGAAGGGACAGAAACTATATCCTGGTACAAGAATGAGGCACTGGAGCTGGCATACCCAGGGGCCAACCTTTTACTACTAGACACCAATTTATTCTAAGATGTTGCCCTGTAGACACAGATGAGTATGTGTGGGAGGGTGCATTTTACAAATGGAATGAGCAAGCTAGGGGAAAAAACAGAATACAATATTTTGAATGGTAAGATGATGCTATGTAGAAAATAATGAAGGTCTGAAGTTCCAAGAAAACAAAGGCATCTGGGAACAATACTTATTTCTATTGACTACATGTGGAAAGAAAGCAGTTACTTCCTGAATGCTGAAGGGAGTCTGACTGAACCTAAATATGGTGTATCATCCATACTTTGCTTCTTCTGATAATTAATAGAATTTGATTTCCTTAAAACTCTACCAATACATAACCAAAGTGAGATTTGTTCTGCTTGACTAGGCATAATTGTTACAAGAGGTTTTGCTTTTGTTTTTTAGTGGAGGGGAAGGGGGGAAACAGATTTTTGCTAATTGAAAATTAAGTTTAAAAATTCTTTACCAACTCAGGTTGTAGGTATATGATAGCAACAATCTATATGTAAGTGTCATTTAAAGATAATTTCATTAAAAATCAAGAAAACTACATCACACAATTAATTGCGTATGATACGTTACTGTTTCTGAACATGAGCAATACAAAAAGTAGCAAGTGCATAAGAAAAGGTGAGGTGGAGAGCAAGACTGAAGTCCATATGAGCTGTGACAAAAATCCTCATTGCTCATTATTAGGAAGAAACACACAGAGAGACTCAACTTCCATCCGGATGAAGAAGCAAGGTCCATGAACCATGATCTAGAAGGACTAGAACCTGTGGGGTCACACTGGAAACATTTCCAAAGGCACCTACCGAACAACACGCTGAATGAAGTCTGTTAAGCCAGCTGGCTGGAGGATACTGCGTTAGGCTGGGAAGGCAACCATCAGATTTACTAGAATCGTTATTATTATTTTCATGGAGAGTAACTGACTCAGCACTTATAGCTTGGATTTTTAAAATTTATACATATAATGCCATCAAAGTTGAATGTGCAACAGGACTTTCCTTTATGGCAGAGCTGTTTCAAACGAACAGGCAGAATTCGACATGTTTACACTCAGACTGTTTGGGGCATCTGCATCCTCTGAGAACCTTTCAATAAAAACATCTCTCCAAAAAGCCTTAAAAAGGTTCTTGAGATGAATCTTTCATGTCCTCTGCCTGGATTCCGTAACAACAGGCCTACTGACATGGCAGGGACTACAAACCCCCTACTCTGTTGACAGGTCTCTTAACACTTTATTTTAGACGGATTTGGAGAAGGACAGTTTACAAGGTTACCTGAGAAACGTGATTCCTTCAGGACTACTAGAAAGAGGCAAATGGGATGAAGATGTTTATGTTAGGCCTTTACTGAGCTGTCACTACAGTCATTAACTGCTGCTCACTCTGGAGAAAGGTGGGTGGGCATCCAGACTTTGAAGAAGCAAGCGCCTTCATAAGCCCTCATCATTTGCCAGGAAAGCAGGGGGACCAGCAGGGGAGTAGGCAGGGTAGGAGTGGGGCTGCAGAGTCAGGGCCTGGCTCCAGAAGGGTGCCTCCGGCCACCAGGCAAGTGGCTTGCTGGGGATGTAAAGACTATCTGCTGGACAAAGAATCCTAAGCGTGTAGCTAGGAGAAAGCTCACGAACCAAGCTGCCTGCGGGGGCTCAACCCAGAGAAACCCTGTCACCGTACCGGCAATGTGTGAGACTCCCCAGCCTCTGGAAGGTGCTGCAGACATTTGATCCTCTGCAGGAGCAACATCTTCTTGTTCAGCTGCAACACCTATGCAGCAGCTATTCACAGCTCTCTAACTTCTGCCTGTTCTTAACTCCTGATCACCACAATGAAATTGCAGTATGCAACATTTTAGTGGTTGCTAAGGGACTAACTGTGACATCAACGGAGCATCATGTTGGAGCAATGACAAGGGAACACCACCTAGCAGGGGGGCCTGCCTGGAGATGGCCAGACTTAGAGCTAGCTGTGGAGAATAATCGCACAGGTAGCCATCGCAAGAGTATGTCTAGATTTGAAATGGTAACTCCTGATTTCTTACACAAGCAATTACTTTAGGACAATGGTTTACAATAGAGAAGATTCTAAGACTGCAGCTATGAGTCGATTGAAGTCACGCTGTTGTCCACTTTTCAGCTCTGGGACAATAATGATGTTGAAAATACTGATGTTATAATTACAAAATTGCAGACCCCAGCCCTCAGTATTAAGTTCTACCCTTAATCCTATCTTGAGGACTGTGGCTGAAATTGCTATGTTGGCATTTACAACAAAATCTACCTTAGGAAATAACTGAGGGAAAAAAAGCTTAATAATAGTGGGGTACCCACTGTGGGGCTAATTTGAAAGAGACCACACAACTAAGTATCTCTTTGAATTTCCCTGGAGTGGGCCAACATACTTCCACTGCCATCACTCAACTGTATTTGAATAAAATCTCAAAAACTTAGTGCTGTCTTGATTAGCTGATCTATCAGATTAATATGGAGTAAACTGAATTTGTTGAGGATCAAGACAGTAATGTAAAATGAAGCCCCTGCATTCCAGATCAGCTGAAAGAAGGAGAATGAAATGGCTTCCGACATGAATCACCACAGCTGACACAGGTTAATCTCCCCCTACTCCTGCAAAGGAAAAGGAGGTGAAGCACAGTAGGGGAGGGCAGAGGGAAGAAGAAATCCAACAAAACTGCTAGGAAGCTAGCAGGTAAGGCAAATTCCAGAGTAACTGGGCTCTTTTTAGAAACACTACTCAAAAAGCTAGAAACCAATACATCTCTCTCTAGCCCAACGACAGAACTACTAACCCAACTGTGATTTTTAGAAAGGCTCAGCTGACCTGAAATTCAGTTGTAGAAATCCAGTGCTCTCTTACCTCTGATTCCGCCTCTAATGCCTCTTCAGTGGTTCGGGTCCGATCTTTTGGTTTCTTCCATATCTTTGGTGCTGTTACAGCTATTTGGGCTGCAATACAAGTTAATGCCCATTACTTGCCACCACCAAATCATGCTAGGGGGAATCAGGTCATGTGGGGGGGAGGGGAGTCAAGAAGTATGATGGGGGTGGGTCTATTACAAGTAATGCTTTGTAACTACATGGAAGGCATCACACTCAACAGGGTCAAGATTCTCCTTCAGCATCTTGAAGGAGTCATGTCAAAATTCAAAGTAAAATTAAAATGAAATGCAACTTCACAGCATCAGACAGCCTGCAGTTAACATAACACAACCAAGAGCCCCTTCTCAAAACAACTGGGATACATCCCCGACCAACACTCTCTTTGCCTAAACACCCCCAGTGACAGGCTCCCTTTCCTTCCAAGGCAGCCCATTTCATTTCTGCACAACCTTTTTCCTGATGACCTCACTAGGAAATCTGTCCTTCAGTAACCCCCAGCCATTGTTCCAGTATTACTCTCTAAAGACAAACTAATTGGCTAATTCGTCTTCCATATGGCAGCCCTTCAAATGGCTGGAGGCAGTGACTGTACTTCCAGGTCTTCCCTAAGCTAAAAAAGCCCCAAGTTCTTTAAATGTATTCTTCTGCAGAATAGTGTCCAGTTGTCTCATCATACTGGTTGACCTTTTCTGTTTCCGCTCTAGCTTGTTAACATCTTTCCTATAATGTGCCTGGGACTTAATGAAATACTACAGATGTGGTCTGACCAGGGCCGATTGGGGCAAGACAAGGATACCTCATCTTTGGGACAACTAAGCCTCTATTCACAAGGCCTCAGGTGGGATGAGATTTATGGCTTCTCTATAGACTAGTGTGGACACATCTGGAACTTACAGTCCACTAAAAGCCAAAGCTGTCACATCCTGCTCACACAAGAGCTGTCTAGCCACTTCTCCCCTGTCTGGTACTTATAAAACTGATTTCCTGCTACATTTGTAGCATCTTATGAGACTTAGTATACTGATCTAGATTGTTGAGATCTGTCTGCATCTTGGCTCCATCATCTAATTTTTGCCTCTTCCTTCTAGCCCGGTGTCATTTGTTTTATTTCATAACTCATTGTCCCAAACTACCTAGAGACCAAAAGAATCTTGGCTTACTATTTCACATACGCTATGAAAATACTTCTTTCCTACCTCTACCATATTATGTGCAATTGTTGGGGTGAGAATGAGGAGATGAAAAAGAGGACAAAGGGGCAGTTAGGTGGTGAAGTAGATAGAGCTCCGGCCTTGGAGTCAGGAGGACCTGAGTTCAAATCCCGCCTCAGATACGTGAAACTGACTTGCTGTGTGACCCTGGGCAAGTCACTTAACCCCGACTGCCTCACCGATTAAGAAAAAAAAAAAAAAAGAAGAAAAAAAAAGAGGACAAAGTCAGGCTTGCCAATGAATGCTTCTCATGCTCAACAAGTTTCCTGGGTAAAGTAAACTTTAATTTTCAGAACCTAATCTGACAAAAATTTACCAGGTACCTTCTGCGTGTAAGGCATCAACTTTTAAACAACAGAGCAAAAATGCATCTTGCTTGTAAATGTTAAAGAATTATTTTGAGTCTGGTTTGAAAAGAAGCCTTAATTATCAACTGAGAGAGAATAGTATGGAGAAAAGATGTAGGGGGATGAAAGTAGGGTTACCAAGGACATAACCAAGGAAGACATGAAACACATTCTAAAATCGAGTAACATGCCAACTAACCGAAGTCCTGGTTGAAGGACAATGGCGCTCAAAATGATGAAATGATCCCTTCCCATGACTGCTTAAGCTTCTGTTACTTACTCTGAGGAGGAGGATTTTACGATTTTCCTTATATTACTCTTGCAGAATCATCTGAGGCTTTCCAAATCTCCCTTATCATACTTTGAACCTATTGTTCCTTGGTGTTAACCTTTATGATTCTCCCTTCTCCCTATTTGCTACCAAAGTCTTTGGATTAAACCTCTCCCAATTTCTTGACGACCACAGTCTTTGGATTATACCTCCCCCAACATCTCTAGTGTCCACCCCACTATTCTATTCTCATTATAATGATCATCACAGTATATTAGATCCAATCACCACATACCTGGCCTACTGCAATAATCTCCTAATGCTTCTTCCTACTTCCATTCCCTTCCTTCTTGAAACCTTATTTCACACAAATGCCAGACACAAACTTTATGCAAAGCTTTGGCTCTATCATACCTCTTCATGAAACTTGAAGTGGATTTCTATTGCCTGGGGAATAAATTCTAGACTTCTCTATCAGGCAAGGCTCTATACCTTTGCACTTCACTACCTTACCAACCTCATATGATTCATATGATTCTCATCTATGCTCCAGCCAAAGCATAAGCTGGATGATCCCTTATGTGTGGCTAATATTTTCCTCCTCCTAACGCCCGTTTGCATTGTTCCCTACGCCGAGAGTGCCTTCTTGGTTTGAAATTCTGCACATACATAGTTCAAAACTGTTCAAATGTCACCTCTTTCATAAAATCCTCCAGTTACAAAATGATCCTATTTTTCCTCTGGCCTCATTACTGAGAATATTGTGGGCTGAGTGTTCAAAAGAACAAGGAGTGCTGGGGGAAAGACCAGGAAGAGAATAAAGGCAAGCTTCTAAAAGGCAGTGAAGAGCTGCTAGTGGAGAGGGATGTGGAACATGCATATGTGTGGGACTGAAGAGGTTTTCCTACAACTCCCAGAAAAATCTTAAAACTTTTACTCACTTATCTCTCTTACACGACTTTCCTCCCTGGCCCCCAAAAAGAGCCTGGCGGCTTCCGTTTTGTCTACCCATCCCAGGAAACCCTTAAAGACTTAGGAACTGCCTTATTTCCCTTTAAATTGTCTGTTCAAATCACTCAGACATTCCCAATGGAAATTCTCACCTGGACCCTTTTCCAAATGATCCACCTCCCCCATCAACTGGCTTTCCCTTAATCCTAGCTAGGCACCAGTGTTCCCCCCCAGCTTGCTGGCCACCCCCATCCAGATCTCCCTAGACCCCTCCTCCCCTCACCCCAAACTGCTTGGTCACTCCTTGGACCCCTCCTCTCGTCACTCCAAGCTGTCTGGCCCCTCCCCAATCAGTCTATACTAAAAAGACTCATCTTTCACCCCACTCAGGAGCTGGGAATTTCTCATGCCCCTAGAGGATGAGACCCCATGCCCGGTTACCTGGCCTGACCACCTCAGCCCCAGCCCCCACTCAGATGCTGAGCTCTCTAGACTGCCTCACCTGACCACCTTAACCCTATTGAGATCACTGATGTTTGGGTTCCTTTGGACTCTGGCCTATATGCCTATCTTTAATAAACTTTTTCTCTGGCTAGAGAAGATCTGAGTTGAATTCATTCAGGCAGATCCGTGCCGTGATCTGGGCTTTGCCTCTGTGCATCTAGTAGCACCCCAAACCGTGCCCCCTTCAGGACCACCAATCACCATGCACTCAGGTTGTTCTGACTTTACCCGATTTCCCTTCTTGGTGGCATGAAATCGAACCATCCTAAGGGTAAGGTGGGAAATAAATTGGACTTGCCCAAAAGTGAGATGTTTCAAACCTGCTTCACTAAAAAGCTTAGGACACTAGGAAAGGGACTGTCTTTACTTTTCTTTGTATCTTCAGTGCTTAGCACAGTGCCTGTCACACAGTAGGCACTGAATAGGTATGTTCTGACTGCTGCTGTACAGTCTAACAGACAAGTGTACAGGAGCCAGAAGATTTGAACAGTTCTACTGCTCTCTGTGACACTTTGGGCAAGTCTCATTTCCAGACTGGACCTCAACGATCTCTTCTGAAAAGAAGGACAGACATTTGAAGTATGTAACAGCTAAGGTTCTGAGGGTAAATGCCTTTAAGTTCCTCATGAAATTGTTCTGAGATCTTTAATAAGAGAATTTCTATGATCAAGAACAAAATCAAAACAATTTTTTTCTGCTAAGCTTTATAATTTCTTTTTGCGTATGAGTTTCAATTCTAAAATTCATTCTGGAAGAGGGGATTCTCGTCTCAGGAAGATTTTTGGTTATCAAATAACAGAATCACAGGTTTAAAGCTGGAAAAGATGACTCAAGTCAGGAATGAGGCACTTAAAAAAAAACCTTAAAAAAAAAGATAACAGGCCACCTGAAAAGAAAATATATTAAAAAAAACACATTCTATGCGGTGGCCACTTGGGACAAATAATACTTCTTCCGTTTTTGCAGGCTCCCTGATCTCGTCACCCTGAGTACTATCTCACTCCACTGACTGGGCTGACAGCAGCCCCCTCTGGCCATTTTGTTCTGGGTAATTTTTGTTCATGTTCTTCTCTAGATCCTCCAGTAAAGCCTTCTGGTTCTTTTTATGTTTCTTTATTTTAAAAAATAATGATTTATTGGAAATGTAATATTAATTGTTGATTGCTAATTTTTTGTTAGTACTTCACCTACATTCAACTTAGCAAACACAAGTACTGATAAGGTATAAAAGACTGTCTAGGTGCTGGGGAAACAAAGGAAAAAAACAAAATCTTTCTCACGTTCAAGCAGCATACACTCTATGAAGGGGGTGGAGGCCATATGTACAAAGATAAATAAATGAAAAATATGTGCAAAGTAATACAAAACAACTTCAAGAGGGAAAGAGCACTGTCAGTAACTATGCTATGAAATGCTGCCCATGCAGACACTACTGAGATGTACAGAAGAGTTTTTGCCTAGACTAAATGGTTTCAGTCTTATCTCTTTTTCTTATTCTCTGTATTTATTAAAAGTTTTTCTGTCAAATATCCCATATTGTTTTCAGGGGGCATATAGCAGATTTCATCTAATATTAATGAAGCTGCCTCTGATCTTCTGTAGGACAAAAAACTAGTTATCAAAACTGGCTAGGATTTCATCTATAATAATTGTAAATGGTTTCTGAACCAGGGACTGGAGACAAAGATGACAAAAGGGGAAAATATCAATGGTTGGAGGAGATGTATGAGGACACACACAGTGGTCACCTATTGGTGAAATTGTAAACTGGTTCCACCAATC